TCCGTCCGTCCGATTCTGTTTCCGGAGCATATCTCATAAACCGTTCAAGATATCTTTCTGAAACTTTGCACACATATCAACCTTTTACAGTAGTTGTGCCTTTTGCTATTTAGGAATTTCTGGGATTTATATTTTTTTGTGTTTCCATGGAAACAAAAATGACTTAGTTTTTGGTGTACAATTTTGTTTCCGAAGCATATCTCATAAACCGTTCAAGATATCTTTCTGAAATTTGCACACACATCAACCTATTACAGTAGTTGTGCCTTTTGCTATTTAGGAATTTCTGGGATTTATATTTTTTGTGTTTCCATGGAAACAAATTTGACTTAGTTTTTGGTGTATAATTTTGTTTCCGGAGCATATCTCATAAACCGTTCAAGATATCTTTCTGAAACTTTGCACACACATCAACCTATTACAGTAGTTGTGCCTTTTGCCATTTAGGAATTTCTGGGATTGATATTTTGTGTGTTTCCATGGAAACAAATTTGACTTAGTTTTTTTGTGTACAATTTGGTTTCCGGAGCATATCTCATAAACCGTTCAAGATATCTTTCTGAAACTTTGCACACACATCAACCCATTACAGTAGTTGTGCCTTTTGCTATTTAGGAATTTCTGGGATTGATATTTTGTGTGTTTCCATGGAAACAAATTTTACTTAGTTTTTGGTGTACAATTTTGTTTCTGGAGCATATCTCATAAATCGTTCAAGATATTTTCATGGCACTTATTTTGAATTTCTCAGATTTGATAATTTTATGTGTTTCCAATCCATGGAAATACATTTGACTGTTCAAGATACCTTTAAAATAATTTTACCCATTATTTTATTTTCTGAAATCCAGCCTTCCGTCCTGATTTTCTTTCTGGAGCATATTTTATTATCTGTTCAAGAAATCTTTTTGAAACTTTGTACAAACATTAACCTATTATATTTTATTTTCTGATGTATAAGTTTATTGTTTAACATACAGCAGCTAATTGAGGTAGGCAAAGGGTGTTGTGCAAACCTTACAGGGAATAGCGACCCTGCCTTGCCGAGCTACTGTGATCAGAGTATGAAATTCTGTGAATTGATATACCATGTGTCGGAATATGAGATTTGTCTAAAGCTCCAGTTCCCTCCACTTGCAAAATATCTCTATTTTCTATGTAGTCATGTCTAATTTTTTAAAACCAGAGCTTAATGTCATAAATTATCTCAAATCTTCTAGTAAATAGCAATCAGTCATTTGTTTTCAGAAATAGAGAGCAATATCTACTAAACAGGGCCACAATATTAGGACCAGTGACACTGTTTGTGAAATCTGATACATTTTTATATTGATTACCAATAGCATAAACAAGTTATTTTTCCTTATTTCGTCCAAACAAGTGCAAGGGCGCGGGATGTTGATGACTAGTCATCTTGTTACTATTAGCTACGGGAATGATCTGATATTTACCAGTGCAAACTCGTGTTTACTCATTCGAGCGTATACCTCCTTGAAAATACATTTACATTAGTCCAAGAATACTAATTTAACTATAGAATATACGTACTAAGCCAAAAAGTATCCATTTATTTAGCCAAGTACTTGAAGTAGCGATTTTTTTCGGTTCACTGACCACATGACAATTGAATGACACTTCCGACTTATCGGATCCCTCATGTCCTAGTTGGCATTATTTATACTTCTGCTTTATTAAAATGTATTTCAATAAAAAAATCAATGATTCCTTTGGAAAATCAAAGTATCTGTATAAGAAATTTGTCAAGATGCATAGAAATTGAGCAGAAGCAGGGATAGTTCTTACGGTAATCAGTCGAGTTGGGTGGAAAAGTGAGCGTGAAGTCACGTGACGTAAACAAGCTCTTTCACGGCGTGAACCTTTTGGGCGGGGTTATAACAGTATCAATCATTTAAGCAATAAAATATCATATATAGGCCTAACATAAAGATTTTTTTTTTCAATACTTATGTTAAAGATACATTATGGGAGATTTTTATAGAGAGTTGGCCATTCTTGCTATAACAGTTCAAAAGTAGATGATGAAAGAAGAATATATTGAAAAATTCAGTCAAATTACTTTATTCTGAACATAGTTATCATCCTTGTAATATTTGACTAAAAATGGTAGCGAAATGCGTCTTCACCTTCGCCGATCGTTTGATTGACAGGCGTTAACTCCACCTACATATCTCGATTATCAAGTAAATTTTTCAATGGCATACGGAAACGCTTTACAACGGCCTCGCTAAGTACACTCTATCATTTAGCCTCGATCTAACTGACGTATTTTCATCAGGTTACCTCTTATTTGATTTAATCAATTAGTGAAATCCTATTTAAATCCGAGCTGTAGCCGAGCCATCCGTGGGTCTACAGAGTTGATTTTGGTCTTGTTGTTTAAATAAAGATCTAATTTATAATTTCTATAATATCTGAAGCCTAAATTAAGACTTGCAATAATCAGATTTAGCTCTTGCATAATGCATGTTTAAATATCACATAGAAGGTTTAGTACTTTAGAAACATCGAACCCGCCATGGCCGATACAGTGTCAGTAGTACTAGTACCGAGTAGAAATTCATCATTCCGGCGTCTTAAATACCGATTTGCTTGGCTAAATTCAGGAGTCGTGCAACATGGGCAGCGGGTCTAGACTTGGGTGACATTTTTCAAACTTTTTAGTTAATATTAATACGAAATGACGAAATTTTCATTCATAAAACTATTGAACAAAAGATGAATTTGATAGATAGGCAAGTCAACAAATCTGTGTTTACATCCTCGTTTCTCATGCCCATGTTACACATCGAGCACGTGCAAGAGCTTTAAGCCAATGAAATCGCGTATTATCATCGGGAGGTCGGCCATTCGTGGCAACGAAAAGGCCTACGGTTGATCTTGTTAAACTGACTCTGATTCGTTATTGACAAAGAATTTGCCTTTGTTTACTCCAAATATGGGAAGTTAAGTTCACGACCTTTCAAATGACGTATGGAGATTAGCATCAAGCACCGCGTGCGTTTTCAAAACATTGGAATACTTTCGCTGATTTTTTCACAGAATAGACGTCATTTCTTGGGCCTTTTTAATCAGGTAGGCTCATAAAATACCCCCAAAACACCATTTCCAGTTTTCAGATCGTCAAAATCCTTCTCAAATAACAAAGTTCTTTTGTATTTCTTGATGTTCCAACCTCAATCTCAAAATCGACAATTTGACCAAAATCCATTGATAACAATGCTTTTGTGCCCGTAGCACAAAATGACGTCGTGCGACAAGCGACTGATATGCTGGGAGCGACTCACATATTTATTACCCAACGATCTTGGTTCCTTTCAATATTCACACATATAGGATCATAACTTTCCCAGGCCTTCACGTGAATAAATTCCTGGAGAGTCGAAAAAACCTCTCCTGAAATTGGAAAAAGGGTAAATCACTCTCCTAAATCTGTTGAGAGAGCTTTTTTAGCATTTGTGATAAGAACAAGGTTTTTAATTCATTTTGAATCCGGTTAGAATTTGGTCAAATGAGGTCCCGGTAGGAAATAGGGTATTTTGTTATGGAGAATGTCGTATTCTGAATAGGCTAAGATATGACTTGAAGTTCAAGTAATATTCCTGAACAAATAAGCTGATACGACACCATGGCATTTCGTCATATTTAAAACACAAATTACTGTTTTTGTCTATTATGTAACTTACAAAGCTTTTATTCATTTGTGGATGATAGACAAGCGGCACAAGGATGTGACAACCATAATTTTTACCAAATTATGCCATAGCCTTGATTGATAAGGACAATATTTTTTAAAATAATTCCTTGTCGGCATGTGTATAAAATAAAAATGAATAAAACTAAAACGCTATTTAAAACTAAATCTAGCAATGCTGGTTTATTGACCTAATTCCAATTGATGCATATCACATGTTATCGGGAATCAGAAAGCATTGGAGATCCTGACGGAAAAAATATATTATTAATGTCTATTTCTCAGGATATCTGGTGTTCTATCAGAGATTATTCAAGATCTTGGTTCCTTTTGATATTCGCGCATATCTGATCATAACTTCCTGAATTATGGCCCTTGATTGTGCGAAAAATAGCATTTTTTAGCTTGTGGTCCCTCTAGAGGTCACAATTTTTATCCATTTGAAAAAAAAAACGTTTGAACATTTCACTGTTACACCCTAATGATGGCTGAGTTAGAATTTCGTGAAAATTGGACCAAAACTGCTGGACAAAATGGCCGCCCCTCGTACACAAATAGTGTAAATATATGGTATATCAAGGTTGTGGACCCTCTAGAAGTCATAATGTTGATCCGATTTTGATTAAACTTGAAATATATCTTTATAACCCATAGGTCTTGGTTCCTGTCGATATTTGCGCATATCAGATCGTAACTTCCTGAATTATGGCCCTTGATTGTACAAAAAATCGCCTTTTGTTTAGCTTGTTCTCTATCCATCTCTTGCAAAATATAGGCGTATCCTGTCCGGCAGCCGCTGGTCCCTTTATGAGCTGAATCTATCTTATAATAATATATCAAAAACTCTTGTAGATTAATTATTGACAGTTAGGGGGATCATGGTGGCTAAGTGGGTAAGATGCTGGAGTTCATGTGTTTGATCCCTGCTTACGCCAAGAAAGTTCAGTGATGCAGGACGGAGGCCCTGACAAGGACAGCTGTCTAGTCGTTCGGATGGCACGAAAAACCAAGGTCCTGTGTACACATTGGCGTGCAAGTAAAAGATCCCTTGACAGTTGAAATTTGATATAAGAGTAGGCCATAGTGCTGTTGTTCTGGCAAAATTTCCCTCATAGCACACTGTACGGCGTATGCTCATCTTCATTAGGAGTAGGACATAAAACCCCATTTCATGTCATTTTATTGGCAGTTACTGGGTGTACATACCAGTATGTCATATACTTGAATATTGACATACAATTTACATGTGCTTGTCCTTCAACAAGTATTTTCTTTAACTTTTATTCACCTGGTTGTTGGATATTTTTACCAATGCTGACCCAGAGAACTCAGGTCTTATTGCAGACTCAGAAGTAGTGAAATTATTTAAACGCATCAACGACACAATAACAACATCTGTTATATCACAGAAAATAAAGGTAAGTTATGATATTTGTTGTATACACTACTGCTTCCATGCCAGAGATCGAAATTACAAGTTTTACTCTAGTGTTGAAACTACTATTCGGATATCCGTTAACGGATACAAAATAAGGGTTATCCGAATCATTTTACTATCCATTACAGTCTTCTGACATTCCGTATGCTCTATATTTAGCCATTTTTACATCTGATTACTTTGAAATTTTCCCCAATGCTATTGATCACGTACGCAGCTTTGAGCATAAATGTTAATATCACACGTATTATTAATGTAGTGCAACGAAAACAATAGTCTAAATAAAAAAAAATATTCATTCATTCCTTGCGCTGGTTTACGCTAGATAGAAGCTACTTCTTGGGTTTACGGGATACAAGTTAACACTGTGTTTAGACTTCCCGCAATGAAATTTATTCATAACGACCTAGGTCACGTATATTCTCACTTACTAATTGGTTCAATAGCAGTAGATTATCAGAATGAGGCAAACGACCTTGGCGGAATAAATGTTAGATGTTTTTATTTTACTTTTTATACGCCCACATTGAAATGTGGTCGTATATTGTCGTCGCCCCCGTTCTTCCGGCGGTCTGGCGTCCAAAATTGCTTGTGGACGCTCTAGAGGCTAAAGTTAATATCCGATTGACTTTAAATTTATACACAGTGTTTAAGGTCATGAGATGAAGAAGCCTATTGATTTTCAGTGATTTTCGATAATTACTGCGGGAGTTATTGCCCTTGATCACTTCAAACAATCTTGTGGACGCTCTAGGGTTCAAAGTTAATATTCGATTAACTTTAAATTTATACACAGTGTTTAAGGTTATGGGACGAAGAAGCCTATTGATTTTCAGCGATATCCGATAATTACTGCCAGAGTTATGGCCCTTGATCGCTTCAAAAAATCTTGTGGGCGCTCTAGAGGCTAAAGTTAATATCCCATTGACTTTACATTTATACAGTGTTTAAGGTCATGAGACGAAGAAGTCTATTCATTTTCAGCAATTTTCGATAATTACTGCCAGAGTTATGGCCCTTGATCACTTCAAAAAATCTTGTGGGCACTCTAGAGGCCAAAGTTAATATCCGATTGACTTTAAATTTATACACAGTGTTTAAGGTCATGAGACAAAGAAGTTTATTCATTTTCAGCGATTTTCGATAATTACTGCCAGAGTTATGGCCCTTGATCACTTCAAAAAATCTTGCAAATGCTCTAGAGGCTAAAGTTAATATCCGATTGACTTTAAATTGATACAGCGTGTTTAAAGTCATGAGACGAAGAATCATTGATTTTCAACGATTTCTGATAATTACTGCCAAAGTTATGGCCCTTGATGACTTTGAAAAATGTTGTGACCCTCTAGAAGCTAAAGTTATCATCCGATTGACTTCAGATTCATAACACAGAGTTTAAGGTCAAGAGACGAACAAGTATAATGATTTTCGATTAATTTCTATGACTTGAACAGCTAAATCCATGATGTTAAAAGTTTTCTATACTAAACGTTAGCATGGGGCAAAACTTTATAAAAACCAAACAAATTGTAATGGTTTCTGATAATTACTTAATGAGTTGTTACTCTTAATCAGATTTAAATGTATTATAAATGTGTCATTACCGAAAAAAGTAAAAATATGTGACAACTCTTGTTGACTGCCCGGACGATTTAGCTGCTGTGGGCGTATGTTTCGTTGCCTAGCAACCTGTCTTTTCATTCGTGTTGATTGAGCAAAAATGATAAGTGGGAGGCCCGCGGATTACAGGAGTAGTTATACTCAAATTTATTCACCTCATTGATTTTTTTGGATATCATGGATAGTCTAAATAATTGCGGCTAAAGGTAGGCACGTTTTTTTCTTTGCGGCTCAAACAAATTGCAAATCGAAAATAAGATTTCATACTCGGCATACACACACACTCATAAACATTGAAATAAGTAAGAAATTATGAGTATATGAACTTTTGATGTGATTTTGTTCAAGAATTTCACATTTCCGAATTATCCGAATAGTATTCGGATAGCAAACAAAAGTATTCGGATCACAAATCTCGATCCGATTTTCAACACTATTTCACTCTAATAGTTGCTCAAAAACTACAATTCACCTTTGCCAAAGGAGGCATTGCCAAATATGGTGACTTTAAGATATGAAAGTACAAAATATTTTTTGTCAATGTGAGTTTCTCAAATCAGGTGTTCCAGAAAAAAAGTGACATACCCTCCCACTGCGTGGCACTCATCATTACCAATAGGTAATAGGAACAATTTTCTGCTATTGGAGCTCAGACTCTACAATTACAATACCGTTCTCGAAAATTATAATATGTATAAGCTTATTATCTCCTTACCCTGTAAATTTGGTTTCAGAATATTACCTCTTTCCATAGTTTGGGATAAGAATTAATTAGAAGCTTTACACCAGTTGCGTTTGAAAATATATATTATTACATCCCACTTCTACTCGTTGCCACTGGCAACCTTTGATAAAACTGTCCTGTTTATTTTCAATACATGCTTAAAAGTATCCGTGTATCAGAATTATACAGAAAGAGTACTGTTCATTTCTGATACACGGATACTTTTATACTGTTTTAGATACCTATCAAGCAATAAGTAGCGGACGTTTAGTCCGACCCAGATCACAATTGATAACGATAGCTCTATACAATGCACAAGGATAATGTACATGAAACAACTAGTCAAAATCATAGTAACAAAACAAACCAGGAGGAACCACATGGCAGTTCAAAAACATATACAATGACATTAAATTAACATAACAACATATTACAAAAATCAATTATTATACATATCAATTGGCATCTATTTCATAATTTGGTTTGATTTATATTAATATGCAAAATATATAAATTAAAATATTGAATAATTATTTTAATTAATTGTGATGATAGAAGGTGCAGTTCTCTTGCTGGACACTTCACAGGCATTGAAAATAAGCAGGATGAAAAAAAACGCCTAGAAAGTCATAAACTTTATTACAAATAAATTTCAACGGAGGAACCATCCGCCGATGCATACTTTCACCAGGAATGACCCACGTTTCGCATTTCCTTTACACTACATTTAATAATATCGCAGTCCTCTACGCCCGAGACAAGTTGTTTTGACGATGTGGTCTAAACAAACACGTGATTGTTTTACGCTCAGAGTATCATAGCAAGACGCACGTGTAAATACTACTCAGGTCGTCTCTCCACTGCGAAATCATTCTACCATGAAATGTAACGTGAGGCTCAGAAAGGGATAAATGAAAGAGCAGAAAGTATTTGTCACTTTTCGGTTGAAACGACTCGATAATATATACTATTTTTCACATTTTGCTTCACAATACTTGATAGAAATGTGATGTAAGTAACTTATTAGCACCTTTCCTCGGTGTATCGGTGAATATCAGGACAGTTTTGGTCGGGAGCCGCCTCGGCTGGGCCCCTCAACCAAAACTGTCTTGATATTCACTGATACACCTCGGAAAGTGTGCTAATAACTATTACTTACATGGATAATAAAATGCGGATGTAAAAAATCCTAAAATTAATTGGTGTATTTTTCATTCAAAGCTAGCCAATATTCCCCATGTAGTGTTTGAAAATATTTTTTATCTGCATGGATAATCTTGTCTATATTTATGTGTGTAAAGCACATAAGATGTGCATGTAAAAAATTCAAATATTAATGCATGTACTTTCCATTTGGAGTTACCTCCATTGAGCAAATTTCCCCCTTTCTGATCAATGCTAAGTGATGTGCTAACAATGGCTACTATCGGTTTTACCTATATCAGATGTTGACAGTGAAACATATCAGCTGATACAGATACATTTACCAATAGTGACTCATTCAAAAATGTTACCCATTAGAATGCCATGAATGTCATGATGTTGATACATGTCATTGTTAGTCAGGAAATGCTGGGTACTATATTATCTCAGGGAATCAAAATGCAATGATTATCGAGGGAAGAATTGGGTCACGATCGGGTCATAATATTTCCCACGGCTTTCATATATTGTCATCGCCCTGTGGACGGACACACACTACAAGTCACAATTTTTATCTGATTTTGATGAAATTTGAAATATAGGTTTATCTCCAAATGGTGTCGGTTCTTTTCGATATTGGTATGTATCGAACCGTAACTTTATGGATTATGGCCCTTGACTGTACGAAAAATCATGTTTTTAGCGTATGATTTTGTTGAAACTTATGTTTATGCCGAACAAAATGGCCGATCCCTTGAAATATATGTTTATAACCCAAAGATCTGGGTCCTTTTGATATTCGTGCATATTGGACTGTAACTTCCTGGATTATGGCCCCTGATTGTGCAAAAAATCACATTTTTCTTTTAGTTCGTTCTCTGTCCATCTCTTGGAAAACGTGGGCATATTTTGCATGCCAGCCGCTTATTATATGATTTCAAAAAACGTTCAAATATATCACTGTTACATCATATGACAGTTGATTTCGAATTTTGTGAAAATCGGACTGAAACTGCCTGACAAAATGGCCTCTCCCCTGTACGTACATGTAAATAGTGAAAAAGTATGTAATACCAAGGTTGTGGACCCTGTAGCGGTGACAATTTTTTTCCGATTATGATGAAACTTAAAATATATCTTTATATCCCAACGATCTCGATTGCTTTCGATATTCGCGCATATTGGATCGTAACTTCATGAATTATGGGGGGTTGGATGGCCGAATGGTTAGCACATGCACGCTATATTATGAGGTCTGTCATTGAGTTAGCTGACAAGGTCACGATTCCCGAGGAGTAGGGTCGCCTGTCCAACCTCGTGGGTTTTCTCCGGGTCTTCCTGTTTCCTCCCACTGCTAAAGATCCCTATGCACAAGTGATTTTTTTAAATAAAATTGAACCATGTGTTAGTCCCGAAATGACCTAGTTTGTGTCAAGTGGATGTTAATCTCCTTCTCTCTCTCTCTCTCTCTCTCTCTCAAAACGGTCACTCCC